TTATGGGATGTTAAGACAGGATAATAAAAAGTCAAATTAGATGGTCATTCATCAGATGTAAGAACAATTTGTTACTCTCCTGATGGTACTACATTAGCATCTGGTAGTGGAGATAAGTCTATCCGTTTATGGGATGTTAAGTCAGGATAATAAAAAGCCAAATTAGATGGTCATTCATCAGATGTAAAACAATTTGTTACTCTCCTGATGGAACTACATTAGCATCTGGTAGTGGAGATAAGTCTATCCGTTTATGGGATGTTAAGTCAGGATAATAAAAAGCCAAATTAGATGGTCATTCATGTGCAGTTAATTCAATTTGTTACTCTCCTGATGGTACTACATTAGCATCTGGTAGTTTAGATGATTCTATCCGTTTATGGGATGTTAAGACAGGATAATAAAAAGCCAAATTAGATGGCAATTCATCAGCAGTTTATTCAATTTATTATTCTCCTAAAGGAAATACATTAGCTTCTAGGTGTTCTGATAACTCTATCCGTCTCTGGAATGTAAAAAAATTAAAGAAAATACTCCAATCATATAGGGGATACAAAGAGCTGCTTACCTAGTTTAAAATACCTCTTCAGAATAGCTCCTTATTGCCATTTGGTATTTATTGTTAATTATTATTTAGTTAATCATGATCGTACAATACTTAGAATATGTTAGAATCCTTTGTTAGAAGCATCAGGAACACTTATCTTATAAGGACAATTTATTAATCATTAAGGGAAAGATTTAAAGCCTTTGTTTAAATCCAAAGGATGTTGCTTTTTAGAAGACCTAAAGCAATAGAAGTGTATTTGAATATTCATTAACAACATTACAATTATAATTTAAATCATTTTTTATTACTTCTTTGAATTATAAGTGTTTATTGTTACTATTTAAATATTTGGTTAATATTGAGATGTCAGAAACAAAGGTTATAAAATTAATATTTATAGATATACTATACACTATTAAATTTATAATCGAAATGAGTACATCAACCTAATTTATTACTGTTTATAAGTCTTAAAAATGATAATTAATAGTTTAGTAAAATTTAGATTTTTTAGTTTTTAAAAAGTTAGTATTCAATTAATAACAAAGATAACATTTTAAAAAAGAATACATTCAAATTACTCTACTCTAATCTTGGTCATACTTTCGTAACCTGTTATTTATTATTTTCAATTAATATTAAAAGTATTAGATAGAATAAAAGACTGAAAAGATATATTAATCATCAATAAGTATTCTAACCCCTAATAAGATTTAGAGATCCTAATTATATCCATCCCTAACAATAATCTTATCAACATACCCCTACAACATTTGGGGTAGAGATTTATAGAAACTAAATAGATTTTTCTTAATTAGTATGGAAACAATTGTACAAGCTTAAAGTTCACCATAATTGAAAAGGTTAAATTCTCTATCAAGAAAAAAGGCTCTATTTAATTTTCATGCTAGTGATACTATTATTAGTTAAAGTATGTATAAGAAAGACAATTAATTTAACTTACATTATTTCATTAGTTCAAAGGATATAACAACGTTTATCTATAGAAATTTGCCATCATTTCCCTCAAATTTTATATTACTTTAAGTTTAAAAAACTAATAAAAGTGATTCAGACTATAAGTCTGATTTGTATTTCTATTCAAGTATCAAGTAGTATCAGAGAATAGGATTAGTTTGATCAATAAATTTAACAATATATATGCAAGTTATTAGGACTGAGTAATATTGAATTTATTTTAATTAAGATTTATTAAAGAAAAATGTTTAATTAATTATAATTAGTATTTTTATGATTTAACCAATATCTATTAATCATCATGAAGAAAAAATGTGGTATGATAAGGGTAAAAAATTGTTATATATCATATTTAGGATCTGCATTAGCTGATATAAATCAATTTCAAGAAGCAATTTAATGTTTTAACGAAGCCATTTGTGTTAATCCTCATTATGATTTAGCTTTGATTGGCAAGGGTAATTTTTATATATAGAAACATATTAGGTAATGCATTAACTAAATTGGAGCATTATCAAGATGCAATTAATTGTTACACCGAAGCTATTTATATTAATCCTAACTCTGAAACTGCATGAAGTGGCAAAGGTAATTTAATGTTAAATATTAAAAATTAGGATTTGCTTTAGGCAGTTGGTATCAATATAATGAAGCAATTGAGTATTTCAAGTAAGCCATTTCTATTAACCCTAAATTTGCTGATGCATGGAATAGGAAAGGTAAATACTTTGTTCAATTATGATAATTAGGAATTGTATTAGTAAAATTGAATTAATGTTAAGAAAGCAATTGAATGTTACAATGAAGCAATATCTATTAACTCATAATCTGATACTCTTAGGAAAAATAAGGGTAATTAATTATTAAATATTTATACATAGATTATGCTTTATACAATTTGGGTTTGGGTTTGGGTTTGGGTTTGGGTTTGGGTTTGGGTTTGGGTTTGGGTTTGGGTTTGGGTTTGGG